GATAAATATTTGAATGTCTAACACGCCATTTGATTCCAACCCTAGTTTATGAAAGATTGTTTAGGGCTTTTGAAAAAAAACTCTACCTATACGCTGCGATTTACGATATATATCTGATAAAAGCCATACTGGATGGAGAAGTTGAATATATGCAATCAAGAGGCAGACAGCGATAGAAATGGGAGGATAACGTAAATCGACGGAAGAACAGTAGTCTGAGAGAGTGTACGTCAAGAGCGAAAGAAAGCCGCCGGCGAATCAGTTACAGCTAACCTTCAATGTGGAGACGGCACTTGATTGTTTGACTGATTTATAGTCGTATGCTACGGACACAATAAATACAGTAACGTCACAAAAAATATTTAAAGATCCCCCCCCCCCCCCCCCGCACTTTTGGCATGCACCAAAGAGTAGCAGAGCTCTGTTATCCGTTGTTTGATTAGTGAAAGGATGAAACCTACTGGCATCCATCGACAGATCAAGGTCTAGTATGGTGATGCATGTGTGTCAGTCCAGCAGGGTAATCGGTGAAGTAGGAATTTTCCAAATGGCGAAACTTCTAGGACATATTGCTCACAATTGGGCCAGAAACACCAAATAGTGACCCTATAGTTGACTAAACCGCAGAAGACCTCGTAAGGAACACTGCCGATTGATTTTGAGTGACAATGACAGTGACAGTGTCTGTACTGTACATTCCCTGGCAGTGATTGTTTCACGACTTGCCCTTCTTTCTTCGCCAGCCATGATGCCTGTGGCAGATCTAGCTGCCTTTCAGAACATCCCTATATTCAGTTGGGTCTCCAACATGCACGACCTGGACAATAAAACTATCAAAAGCACATTGGTGAGAGCCATAGCTCCATTGTCATCACTAGGTAAGTAAACTCATATATCTCTCCATGGTCTGCATTTGTGTCTCTATATGTCTTGTCTTGTCTTGTCTTGTCCACAATTGCCTCACAGCGTAGTGGGGAGTCGCAGTTTTCTATCCTGAGCCAGGTGTGCTGCACGTGTTGTTGTTAGTCCGTGTTGCCTCATGATCTCTGATATATTGTCTATCCATCGTACTCTCGGTCTGCCTTTTGCTCTAGGGCAGTAGTGCTGTTCGTTGTATGCTCGTAGAGGCAGTTGGTCAGTTTGCATTCGCATCAAGTGGCCAAACCACTTTATTTGTTGCTTCTCTGTGTATTGCAGGCATGGTGTGGTTCCTACAATTGATCTAATGTTCTCGTTTCGAACTCTGTCTCTCCTTGTGACATTGACAGTCTTTCGTAAGCATCTCATTTCGCTCGTCGTGATCTTTTTCTCCTGTGCTCTTGTTAGGGACCAGGTTTGGCATTGGTAGCAGAGGGTTGGTATAAACATGCAATTTATCAGTTGTCGTTTTAGTGCCATAGTGATGCTTGGGTGTTTTAGCAGTAGGGAGAGTTGGTAAGTTACTGCGTTCGCCTTTTGACATCTTGCCTCAAGTTCCCTATCAATTGCTGTCAATTCTTCCATATCTCTATATGTTAAAGTTAAATAATGTCGTTACATGAATCCATGTTTTAATATAGAAACTCCAGCAGTTTTAGACTGCGATTTTCCCAGGCAACTTTACGTTCAGTAGTCTGCCATTGCCTGCTGAATGGTCAGGGCTCAAAACAATTGTCAGAATCAAGGAAACCGGTCTGCTGTCATATCGCCTGCAGCTGGAATAGAGCCGGGAACATCAGAATTACGCCTAAAGACAGTTATCTTAGAGCACCCTTGCGGTTTTGAAGTGACCTGCCATCCAATGTGAGGATGGAAAGCTGATGTAGATCTATCTATCTGTCCTCTCGATGCTTCAATCTAAAGAAGTGGCTCTCACCCTTCCTAATGCCACGACCCTTTAAAACAGTTCTCTTATACTGTCAATTATTTTCCTTCATAACTTCAATGAATATGTGTTTTCTGATGGTCTTAGGCGACCTGAAAGGGTCGTTCGACCCACACAATAAAGTCGCGACCGGCAGGTTGAGAACCGGTGATCTAAAGGTTTACCAGACCATCCTAAGATTAACATTCTCAGTCTAGCTAAGGCAGACCAACAAAAGCAGATCACAAATACCCCTTTCACCTCAAAAGACGTGACTATGAGGCCACGGGCCAGGCATGACCTAAAACACATAAATAAGGAGCGAACCATTAAGGGGGAAGAAACATTGTATATACAAGGTTCGATAATAAAGTAATGAGACTAATTCCATAAAAATCTAAATAATCAACAGTTGAAGATATAAACTATTTTATTCAAAGTAAGCCCCTTGTGTATTGATACAGCAAGAGGCACGATCTAACAAACACTGGAACGACCTCTGAAGTTCCTCTGTTGTAATGGCCCTCAAAGTTTATGTTACGACCCTTTGGATGTCATCAATATTGCCAAAGCAGCGTCCTTTCAATGGTAACTTTAATTTTGGGATAGAAAATAATCGCAGGGAGACAAATCTGGGGAATATGATGAAAGGCTCAGAACACACACTTGTTTTAGGGCCAAAACTTATTGTTTTAATTATGTCTCTTGAGTATTCAAGCTGCTGACGTTTTTGGTCATCAGACAACGAATGTGGTACAAACCGGCAAGCAACTTTTCTCTTGCTCAAATCTTAGACTAAAATGCTATAAATGGTTTCTCTATCAACACCAGATTCATCTACCATCATCTTCACAGTAAAACAATGATCTTCTTGCATCCGTTCTCTGACTTTTGCAATGAGTTCATGATTGCGAAAAGAAATTTGGCATCCAGGACTAGGTGCATTAGTAATCGTTTCCACACCACTTTTAAATCGTGAATGCCACCTGAAATATTGTGCACGAGATAAACAATTTTCCCCATAAACTTGTTGCATCAATTCAACTGTTTCGAAAGCGCTTTTTCTTAGTTTTAAAAAGAATTTAATGTTAGCTTTTTGCTCTGTGCTGATTACGTAACAATGCACCTCTGACTGGGTCAACAAAATAGCGGCTTGTTTGTTGTCTGCTTTTCGAGCAGCGATGAAAAGTTCTTGGATGAATGTTGCCTCTTTAGATTCCATGCTTTGCTTCATAGATGACAATTTTATCTTAGCCATAATAAAATCAGTCTCAATACTTAATTGTCGGACCTTGTATAATAAGCAAGCAGGCAATGTATCAATCGGCGCTCATACAAAGAAGTAGAACTATATAAAGGCACACTAGAGAACATAACAATCAAAAGCTATAGTTACTTCTCCGGGAACTAACCTTCAAATAACCAATGCGCCCCCTTATGAAAACAAGCGATAAATGACCAACTAGCCACTCAAATTAGATAGAATTTGGAAGCAACAGAGATGTGGTTTCTAAGACGACTGTTACGATTACCTTCGACGGTCAGAGTAACTAGCAACTATTGCTTGAAATAAGCTAATGAAAGTAGATCTCTATATACAACAATAAGAAAGAGACAAACACTGTTCTTTAGCCACACAAAGCGAAGAGAGACACTTGAAAATATCATGACAACTGGAAAAATCAGTGGAAAAGTGGGTAGAGGCAGACCAAGAGAGATAATGCTAGATGGGCTGAAACATTGACATGAAGGGACATCATCAAGAGAGCTGTTCCGAGAACATGATCTGTAGAGAGGCATGAGCGCCTTCGCCAGTTGGTAGGGCATATGATGATGATAACCTGTAGGCGTGTAAAGATGTTGGTGATGTTTACTTTCAAGCCCTTAATTATCCTGTATCCTCATCCATTGCAGGGGAACTACTCATTTTCTTCTGCGACCAGATGAAATGGTCCAGGGTCAGTATGATCTCCACATCAGGAGAGTTCCCAGAAGGCATGGCTAGCTTCTTCCGGCAGGCCTTCAAGGAAAAGGACACGTTCTCTGTGGTTCGAGAGTTCAACGGGGTAGCGGACATGGTCAGCAGGCAGAAGATCGAGGAGATGTACAACACGATCAAACAAGATGCCCGAAGTAAGGCACTCAGTCGGGTTGTCGTGCTTTGCTGCTGCTGCTGCTACCACTGCTGCTGCTACCACCACCACCACTACTACTACTACTACTACTACTACTACTACTACTACTACTACTACTACTACTACTACTACTACTACTACTACTACTACTACTACTACCACTACTACTACTACTACTACTCCTTCTTCGTCTTCTTCTTTTTTTCTTGTTCTTGTTCTTCTTCTTCTTCCTCCTCCTCCTCTTTGTTCTCCTCTTCTTCCTCATCTTCTTCCTCCCTCTCTTCTTCCTCATTCTTCTTCTTTTTTTTTCTACCATCCTCCTTCATTTTCGTCTTATCCTTCTGCTGCTGATAATAATGGGTATTTAGAAGCCCCTGTTGCCTCCTCTCTTTCTATACCTCCTGTTCCCCCCCCCCCCCCTCCTTTTTTACTTCAATTGCAAATTTTGCCAGCTCTCTTCCTCTATTCATAATATGCAACAGCTATCTGGTAAAGGGTTTAATGTATTTCATACAAATATACAGATCATCTGCTTTGCAAGTTCACTCCATATATTGTCTCCCCTTAGGTTCCCTGGAGGTACTTCGAAACGTGTCTGATCGTGCGACCTTTGCAAAAGTTTTTCTGAGCAGCATTGATTTTTGTCACGGACCTACTTGAGATGCACATCAGGCAAGGGAGCCTGAACCTGTGGCCGAAGCCCCACGAGCACCCCACCCCACCCCCTTCTTCCCTTAGGTGTTCTGAGACAAAGCTCTCCTAGTAAATGTGTCAGATGGTCAGGCAAGAATGTTGTGAACGATCAGTGTCTAATGCAACTCCAAGAACAGAATTTACAACACCATACTGACTCCTTATATCAAACCTGCACACAGTATGATAAGATAATAAACACTGCGAAAACTGAGGGAATGGGGATAATGAGGAAACATAATATCATGAACGTTCATGTTAACGGAACTACAATCAAACAAGTACGAGAATTCAAGTATTTAGGAAGTATATCTGCAGAGGATGGCAGACTTGACAAAGAGATAAGCCAGAGTACAGAAGGCAAATGCTGTCACCTTCCAGTTAGTCCTACTGCTTAGACACTTAGATGTCTACATATCAAATACTGACAGACAAAGAATGAAATGGTTCAGCCATTTAGTGAGAATGCAGCAAGACCAAACTGCATGTAAGACCTTTACAGCAGAAAATCTGAGAGGAAGGTGAGAATGAGAGGAGGATCAAGAAAGAGATGGATAAATGATGTAGCAGAAACCTGTAAAAAAGTTGAAAAAATCCATCACCCAAGCCACCCGAGAAGCTCAAGACAAATACAGAAAACTACTACACTGGGCTACAACCTGGTAACAGTGTGACCACGAAAGAAGAAGTTATGCCCCTCCCCCTCCTCCTCCTTCCCCCCCCCCCCCCGCCCGGTCTGTAAATAGAGTTCTTTTCTGTTTTAAATTTGTATTTCATACATGTCATATTATTTCAGACATATTATAATTTTTTTTCAGTACATACATATATTTATATATACACATATACATACATACACATACACATATATATGAATATATGTATGTACTGAAAAAATATAATAATGTATATACATACATATATATATATATATATATATATATATATATATATATATATATATATATATATATATATATATATATATATATATATATATGTATATATACATACACATACACATATATATGAATATGTGTATGTACTGAAAAATATAATAATGTATATACATACATACATATATATATATGGAGGAATTTACTGCGAGCCCTGTGTGCCATATACTGGAACAACAAGAAAATGAATGAATACATAATGGTGGTAGCTATTGAAGAAAGAGTATTTCTGTTTCAGCCGTGAGCTTGATAACTGTGGTAGTATTCAAATCTGGTTCTTCAACAATTGATGATGTCATCTCCTGGTATTCAAGAGCCTCATTCTCATACTGTTGGCAATTTAACCAGCACAATCGATTGTGAATATACATTTAATATGGAAAACATTACGCACAAAAAAGACAGAATATAGCAGTTTATGTTGCAGTAACTCCACAGACGGTTATTACAGAAATAGGGACGGCACTATTTTCTTGATAGTTGTTACTTCAACACTTTTAGTCTGAGCAATTTAGAGTTCTCGATAGTTGTTACTTCAACACTTTTAGTCTGAGCAATTTAGAGTACTCGATAGTTGTTACTTCAACCCTTTTAGTCTCAGCAATTTAGAGTACTTGATAGTTGTTACTTCAACACTTTTAGTCTGAGCAATTTAGAGTACTCGATAGTTGTTACTTCAACACTTTTAGTCTCAGCAATTTAGATTACTGTCCTTTAGAGTACTGAAAGCCCTTGTACACTCCGGTGCGCTGGTGGACCTGGGGAAAGCTCACGTGAGCCGAAACAGTTCATCTGTTTTGGAGGGCCGCTGATGTCAACAGATTTTTGGAGCACTGATTTAGGGTTCTGGTCTGAAATTAGTAGTGAGTTAGAAAAAAAAAAGCCTCGAACTATTGGGACGGACAAGGTTGACTTAACAACTAGGGTTTAAGATTTAAACAACAGATCAGCATCGCGTCAATTCTGATTCTAACTCAAGAGAACTATGAGGGTGAAAAGCAACAGATGAAAGACACACGTTAAGAAACAACCCGTTATAGAGTCAACAATAAACCAATAGTGTGTTGCCTGCCACAGGAGGTACTAAGAGAACGTGATAGTACTAAAAGACCCTTTTTTCATACACCCATGAGTAAGGGGCAAATAGGGCTAGCCCTTTATTTTATAGACTATTCTATACTTACTGGATGATTGTTTTCAGCATCAGGCCGGTCGCTTTCACTTCCCAGATCTTTACCTGGCACCCATTTAAGAGTGGGTGCGCCTGGAAACCAAGATTATTTTTTAAAGATATCCAGCTCCGCCAGAAACTGAACCGACGACCTTCTGATGAGAAGACGAGCGTCTAGCCACTACATCCCGGTGGCTCCCTAGAGAATGCGATAATAGAATATCAATGAAGAAGACAGCTCTAAAGCCGTGCTACAACGGATGGCTCTTGACGTCAGCAAACCAAAAAAAATTGGATTCATTTTCATAAGTGTATCATTTACCGACTCCTCCGCCTGTGAAATGAATTTTAAAATAGTACTTGAGTGCTTCCTCGCAACACTTGAATAAAGTAACGATTTTAATCCTGAATTAGACGAAGTCGGTTCTAAATAAAAATCAAATAATAATAAAAGCTGTCAACTACCGAAGACTCAGAGGACAGTGTTGATGAGTTGTTGAAATTAATATACAAAAGAGACAGACATTTCGTCCTACACATAAACAGACATGCCAATTCTGTAAATATATTAAAAACTATGAATCCTTCAATTTATAATATTTATATCAGTTATCATCATCGAAATCATCTAGAAAGCGTTTTGCAGAACACGGTTGCCATTACAGTCAGCATGAGAGTTACTCGACCCCTCGCTGGCTCCAC